GTTGCCTTGCGGTCAGGTTCCAATTCTCTCACAATTTCGGGCGCGTTGGAAACCCATTTTCTTAAGGTGAAGTGCGCGTTTTTGTGTATATCGCGTACTTCCTTTGATATTCTCATCGCATCTTCTACTGACTGGAAACTGTCAAGATAGTCATCCATATAATGATTTTGGATGATCGCCTCTACGGCTTCTGGGTATTTTTCAACATATTTTTTAGCATTCCAGTTCTTTGCGAATATGGCCGTGCAGGGTGAACTAGCTGCACCGAAAATAATCGACGTCATTCTGTATTCTTGGGGTGCCTCATTACGTCGATTCCCTCTCCAGAGATATCTTAAGGCATCTCTGTCTTCGGGTCTAACTTTGACCTGCATAAACATTTCGGCTATGTCCGCCGAGACAGCGACGTTATGGCGACGAAAACGCATCATGACCCCTGGTAGCGACTGCAGTAGGTCTGGACCCGTGAGCAGGAAGTCGTTCAATGCCATCCCCTTTGTTTTGGCTGCGGCATCATGCACTATTCTGAACTTCTCTGGCTTCATCGGGTTGTGAACGTCAAAATGGGGTAGGTACCATGTCCTTCCTGGTGTATTGGTTTTTGGTGCTATCTCGGCGTATCCCTTTTGTACTAGGGAGTTCAATGTTCGTTATATTTCTGTTTTAGATTTTCGTCTCGATCTAATTTTTTCTCGATTGAAACGAGCCTTTTTATGGCTGTTTCATAATTGCCAGGCATTTCGGCATCTTTCTTCTTCCAGAGAAGCGCCGTCTCTATGTGCCCGTCTTCCAACTGACGGGTGCTGTTACTTAGTATGTCTTCAGCTTTCTTCTCTGGATCAGAGTCTGGTCTTCTCGGATTGATTACGAGAGACTCCAGCGCGAAATAGTCGCGGAGTTGATCATTTATGGACTCCTCGCTCGTGTGCAGTTCATTGGCCGCGTGGACGCGCTGATACGGGGCTTTAGTGTGTGCCCCGTGTAGCACCCATCCTAATTCTGTGAGCGAGGCGATTGGTTGGTGCGGCGGACCTCTGCGAATTTTAGTGGCTATCAGGAGTCTCCAATTATCTTGTCCTATTAAGATCTTTGGGTTGCCTGAGTCGTATATTAATTGCTCCTTCAGGTCTTTTAAGTGTCTACAATTTTCTATATTGGTTGCACACACAGTCTGTGGCCCCAAGTTTAGGCTGGCGACCGTGCGTGCTCTGAATTGTACCCTTTTCCTGTGGAGACTCTTGAGCGAAACTTTGACTCGTCGGGAGTTCGGCGAATCAAGGGTATTGTTCCCGATGGTGGTGATCTTAAAGGGGTCCAACCGCCCTGTTGCTCCAATTTGTTTGGCTATTTCCTCATCCATTAATGAGACTGTTGACCCATCATCCAGCAGGGCGTGTGTATTTACAGCTCCCGCCGGTCCAATTACTCGGACTGGTATTATTTTTAAATAAGCGTGATGTTTTGACACGGCGAATGAATTTGCAACTGTTTCCTGAGGTTTTATTTGTGTGACCTCCGTTTTCTCCTTTTTATAATGGTGGAGAAGTCTATTGTGTGTCGCGGTGCATCCTTTTATTCCACACTTCGTGGTTTTACATTGGTGTGTTTGGTTTTTGAATCGCAAACACCGGAAACATAAATTATATTGTTTTGCGAGTTCCCATCTTTTGTCGGTATCCGCTTCTTTAAATTTGTTACAGTCGGATCCGTAGTGGCCTTCCTTTTGGCACACTCTGCACTTCGGAGATGGCTTAGTGGTAGCCGTGTGTGTCCTATGTACTGGACGATTGTTCTGCGCCCCGTTTATAATTTCAGGAGGCGCAAATGCACTACAGTAGCGAGCTTGTTCGGTGATAAACTCGCTGAAAGAACCGAGGTCTGGCCTAGAGTCGTATTTTTCGGTATAAACTTTATACCACTGTGCCCGTATAGAATTGGGCAATTTGTCTGTGAGGTGTCGTAGCAGCTCTGCGTTGATGAGATAATGGTCTCGTTTGAGTGCCCGTAGAGTGACGACGCTTCCCCTCACTTTGCTTGCGAATGTACAAATATCTCTAGGCGCTTCTGTGCAGCGTGGCAATCCTCGTAACTTCTCGGTTTCAGCTTGTGCAATTGAGTCTGGACGCCCAAATTGTAGCTCCAGTTCTCGCATGATCTCATCTGGCTTAGCATGCCCGATGAGTTCCGAACTAACTGTCTCCAAGGCTCTTCCCTGTAGACTTCTTCGTAGTCTTGCCGTATTTTCGATATCGTTGAAGTAGCCTCGGGTTGTTTCATAAATGGCACGGAACGATAGCCATTCAGTATGTGCTCCGCTAAAGCACGGCAGTGTCATTATAGCTTTCGACGCTGCAAAAGTATGCGACGATGCACTCTCTGGTTTTGGTTTGTCAGCGAGTGCGGCTATAGCGGATGTGAGCTCCGATATAAATGGTCGGAGCCCTCTGTCTTCATTTATGACAGATTCGTTGGTAGGGGATTCTTCGTTACGTCTGCCGGATAGGGATCCTGGTAGGTGAGCTCTGATACAGCTGGTAGGAGCTCCCTGTCTTTATCAACCTTTGATTCCTGGCTAATTTTTAGTGGCACAGGATTTTTGGTTACATCTTCCGGATCGTGGTCCTGGTAGGTGAGCTCTGATACAGCTGGTAGGAGCCCCCTGTCTTCAACAACCTTCGAACCATGGTTTGTGAGCTTCTTCTGCGGCTCACTGAGGTCGACAACCTCCGGGGGTGGCCTTGTGACGGTTTTGTTTAGTGGGGCCTCCCCTCCGGTGGCGACGCCATGAGTTGGCTTTTGCTTGGCTACGCTATTTTCGAGCCAAGATCGGACGTACTCGCTTTTAGAGTGACCATCTTCATCATAGTCGTCCGAATCATCTTCTTCCTCAGCCATTTGCAAGGAAATTTGTGCGAGTTCCAATTTAATTCTCAGCACTTCTTCACGAGCCTTCAAAACTTTTTTATTGGGCCGAATAGTCCTCTTTGACTTTATACTTTTATTTCGGTGGCCCCTGGGTGGCTCTTCGGTGCGGGAGTCTTCCCGGACTGTTGGCGGTGATGCACATCGGATGTCATCGTTGCCCTCTATATGTTTCATCTGCTTCGGTGTACCGGTTGTAGCGGCCGGCACGGGCAGGAGTACCCCTCCATCGCGGGGGCAAGGTGGCGCCTCAGCGCCCTCTGTGGTCGATGGTGAGCGTGGTGGCATCTGGTGGCGGACGGCGTCGGTATTGTCCGACGGGCCTCCTTCCAGACCGACGGTCCACGCCATGGCTCCCCTTCCTTGCGAACGAGTGATCGGCATCTTGATTCTGAAAATTCTGCTGACTTTAATACGGTAGTGTCTATGTATCCGGTTCCGAAATACAAACGGATGAGGGATTCAGCTCGTACGACCAGCTAATGCTGGACTCGGCTCGAAGTATAACGGAAGGATCCGGCTCGAAGGACCAACGAATGTTGGCCTCGGCTCGGAGTTTAAACGGAAGTATCCGGCTCGAAGGACCAACGAATGTGCCGGACGGGCGTAACTCTCCGGAGTAAATGTTGTCGAAGATACTCCGCGAGCCGCTCACGTCCTACACCTATAGGTTCTGATGGATACTTTCACTACCGCCTTTGTGTATGCTGTTGGAGAACTGTGGACTGAGGTTCAGAATTAAAAATGCACGATTTATAAATTAAAATAGCAAGGGAGTGGCCAGCGGTTCGACTGATTAATTAGTTGCGAAATATTATAACTTATTTATTTATTTAACACTGTTGTTCAAACTATGGTTGTTCACTTATATATTTCAAAACACAGATTTAATTAAACACACAGTAATATTAAAATTTCTATTGGTTTTTTAAAATTTCTATTCGTATTTTCAAAATATCTGTTGGTAATATCAAATTTCTATTGGCAGTAACAAGTTTCTATTGGTATTTTCTACTATGTCTATTGGTAATTTTGAATATCTATTGGGAGTAACAAATTTCTATTGGTAGTATCCAAAATTTCTATTGGTAGCAGCTGGTTTTCTAACACTACTGACTAGCAGCTATTAATCAACTAAAATTAGTTGAATTTAACACTTTTGTAACTGCGAATATCAGTTACCACTTTTTCCGTCTAGCTAACACTTTTCACTATATGTAACGGCGAAATTTCCGTTACCACTTTATTCGGCTAGCTAACACTTTTTCACTATATGTAACTGCGAATATCAGTTACCACTCTTTTCAGCTAGCTAACACTATTTTACTATATGCAACTGAGAATTTTCAGTTGCCACTTTTTCCGACTATGTGTAACTGCGATTTTTCAGTTACGACCTTTTTCGGCTAGCTAAACTTTTTCTATTTCACTATAACTTTTCACTGTGTTCTGCTACTAGTCACTTCAGCTACTACCGGATACTACTGCTTGTTACTGGTAGTTCTTCCCATGGGTATGAAAGTCCCCAATAGCTTACTTATACGTTGATACTAGCGCCATCTCATACACAGCTCGAGCACTACACAGTTTTTACAAATTTTGTTCGAGAGATGGCGCCACTACCGGAATTTATATTATTTATATCAATAAAGAAAAATAAAGTTATTATTTTATCGTAAATACTATAATATTTTAGACATTAGGTTATAGCTTTTCACAATTTTATAAAGAAGAAAATTAATTTCATTGTAATTTTTTATAGTAGCAACATATTTAAGCTTTATTGTCAAAGTGTCGGTTACATGTTTAAAATTTTCCATACAAGTTTTTGAAACTTTGGTGTGTGTTCTTGTGCGTTTGACTATTTTCTTTCTGGTGACTTTGGCTGCTACCCTGACTCGTTTGATATCTTTTCCGTTTGACCCCTGGCTCCCCATTTACTGGACTCGTTTGATATCTTCTTAGTTTGACCCTAGCTACCCTTAACTGGATCTTGATCTTGCAAGTTTGTTTGACTTGGCTTTGCTCTATTGGACTGTGAGATTTTACAAAACTATATTCTGTTTTGTAATAACATAATGTCGTCAGAAAAGAGGCATTGGGAATGTTATTTTAAGTGTGCAACGGATGGTAAGTAAATTCAACTAACGCATTTATAAAATAGCTTCTTAATGCAGAAAATTAACAAAAATATTAACTAATTCCAGGTGTTTTGCATCGTTTCCCAAATCCTCATAATAATGAGGACAGGTTTAATTTATGGACGAAAGTTTTAGATACCGATATGCAGAAAAGGGATTCACAATATATTTATAACTGTTTGAGACTTTGTGATAAACATTTTGAATTGTGCTATCGCACACCGAGTAAGAAACTTACAAGGAATGCAATCCCAACTTTAAATATCGGTAAGTAGTTATAAAATTAATAATAATGCTCTCCTATAATATTAAAAATTATAAAATATGTTTTAACTCATCGACTTCCAAATAGTATATAAAATTTGTTTTTCTAGCTAGATTGCGCATGTACTGTTGTTACTGTAAATTTATGTTAAAAAGGAGTTTTTTCTTTTATAGTAAATTGTAACAGGCAGGTTAGCTCAATAATTTGTGTAGATATGACCTTTTTTTTTGCTAAAAAATATCACATCAAGTGTGACCTTTTTCGCTGGCAGAAGTAAATATTTTATTTCCAACATAACACAATTTGTTAAGTTGTAATTAGTATAACTTCCTATAGTGAGCTTGATATAAGTAATGCTCACTATTTTATGTACAGTGGAATCTCCATTACTCAAGTTTCAAGGGGCATGCTAGAAGTTTCGAGTTAATGAGTTTTTGACTTAATAAGAATTTCAAGTCTTTTTTTGCAAACACAATACAAACATAAGGTATAAGGTAAACATTTATTCTATTGTGTGTACAAAGTACACACAATAGAATAAATGTTTCTTTTGATTTTTATTGCTGTAAGATCAGGGAATTCCAAGTAAGATGTCATTATATTTTACTAACTTTGACTTACAGACTACTTTTTTAAAATTAAGTTATAAAGTATAAATATTTACTATTAATACCTTACATGGAAATAACATTTTGTTAAAGTTACAAAGTTAACTAATTCAAGATTCTGCATATTTAGGGGTTTAGCGAAGGGCATGGCAATTTTTTTTATCTTATTGATTATTACGGCTTATTTTTTTTCTTTATTTTACTTAACAAATCGACATAACCGTACAGTAATACATATTCCCACAAAACTGTTTACACAGTTTGTCTGTGGAATCCAGAGTCTTACAATAATACTTTAAGGATAGCTATAGTACAATTTTTTTTTCCTTAATTACATAATGATAGAAAGTGTCTATAAACCATCTTTTTAAATACATTTTTCTTAGTCTCGTGTCGAATATTTTTGGGTAGACTATTCAGAATATACGGTATTTCTTTCTTTAATGTTCTATCTCCAAAGTAGTTTTTTATTCTAGGTACTTCGAACTTGCCCTGTATTAACGAGGTTTGAGTTATCAAAATTCCACTGTAGTTCATAAGTACCTCCTGGCCATCTTTAGTGATGTCACCATTAAAATGCTATTACTCACATTGGTACTGTGCTGGGTGTAATCAATACTTAGTGTCCATGCACATACACAACTTGGGCAGTCACTGCTACCAACATGTGAACGGGCTAATCTTTTTATTATGACATGAGCTATACACACTAGATGACGATGATAGTTTTGTTCATGCTTTGCTGTTTATTGTTTCAGATTATCGCCAGGCAGCAAACCAACCATTACTTATGGATGAATTTATTTTGAGTCAGGCTTCAATTAAAGCTGATGACACACCAAGTGTACCAGGTTAGATTGTAGTTCACCTTTTATTTATTTTTATGAATCCTGGCAAATTATAAGTCACCTTTTTCCACTGTAAAAGGCAATTAAGGGATTAATGTGGTTTTATCTAGTAGTAGTAATATTCTGATGTATGGGTATGAATTTGTTCAATGTCTAATCATCAGTGCATTTTTATCTAATCTCAAAAATCGTAATTAAGTAATGTAAAGTAATTTTCTCTAATGATATAATTATACCTAAAACACAGTAAACAAAAAAAAAATATATTCTCACAACTATTACTTTAGTATACCTATAATAATATTGTAGATGTAAAATTTGTTAGTTTGTGAGATGCGAGCCAGTTGTGGTGATTATCTCCATGGATAATATACTATATAGGGCAATTATAATATATATCACCCCCTTATTTTTTATTTACCTTTCTAACAATATGATACTCAATTAGATTTTTAACCATAGATAATAATGTATGTTAATTTATTAGTAAGTGCTTTGACAGGTTTTCTTTTTAATTTTAGCACTAGATGACATGACCCAACCGCTTCTTAAAATTGACTTGTTGGTAAATATGGTTCGAGGAGAAGTTCCATGCTCACTAGGAGATATTTCAAATATATGTTTACCAGACCTTGAAACTCCATCCGCATCTAAAGAAATACTTCAGTCTGCAGGTAAGAATTGTTAGCAATATCATTGGATGAAGTGAGTAAAAATAAGTAGAAGTCTTGACTTTCTTATTTATAATTTACTAAAAAAAGAAGAATTTGTAAGTTGTGACTTTAACTTACATTCACAAAAAAGTGCAATTTCCCAATACTACCCAGTTTAAATAAAACTAAGTGTATCACTTTTGATAAACTTCCTGCTAAATAAATGGAACAAACAATTTATTATATTACAATGTTTGGCAATGAAATAGCTGGTTGCAGTATATTTATCAATGTTATCATTTGTACTATATTAATCATCAAAGTAACAGAAAACCAGACACAATACGAAATTTATTATACTGTATCCATCAGTGGTCAAATACCATTCAGAAGGTTTACATTAAGGTCTACCCTCTATATCTTTATATGATTACTTTTTTAATATTAAGACTGTAATGTACTACATACGTCTTAGCCTATTTAATATTTAAATAATTATTTTGTATTCATAAATATCAAACAGTAATTATTTGAATCTTTTTCAGACACATTTAAAGCTGAAAAACAAATGCTGAGAAAAGTTTATAAGATTGAAAATAAATTAAAAGAATTGAGTGATAAATACAAAACTCAGTGTAAGAAAATTAAACATGCAAAGAATTTGTCAAGGTCAAAACATTTTCTAAAATGTATAGAAAAGCTTCCTGAGTCTATACAAGTTTTTACAAAGATGCAAATGAAAATGAAATATAAACCGAGGGGAAGAAGGTATACTACTGACGAAAAAGTTATGGCCCTATCTATATTTAAACAAAGTGCCAAAGCATACAATGTTTTAAAAAAAAATGTTTGTGTTGCCTTCAAAAAGGTGTTTGCAAAAGCAATTAAGCTTAATTCCATTGAGGCCTGGAATAAATCCTCAAATATTTAATCATATAAAGAAAACTGTTAAAAGACTACCCATGGAAAAAAGACTCTGTACCCTCATCTTTGATGAAGTAGCATTGGAACCAGGACTTCATTTTGATAAAGGGCAAATTATTGGTTTTGAAGATTTTGGTCATAAAAATACAAACCAAATTGCCGACCATGCATTAGTTTTTATGTTGATAAGCATAAAAGGAAAATTTAAACAACCAATATGTTACACATTTTGCAAAAGCTGCACCAAAAAAGACAATTTAAAATATTTAATAAAATCACTTATCAAAGAAGTGCACAAGACTGGTCTGAAAATTATTGCTACAATATGTGACCAGTCGCAATCAAATGTAAGTGTTGTGAAAAGTTTGAGAGAGGATACGAGGAAAGAATATTTAAAACAAGGACTTGAACACAAGTCCTGTTCTTTTGAAATAGAGAATTGCAAGATATTCCCACTTTTTGACACTCCACACCTTTTAAAAGGAGTGCGTAATAATTTATTAAATAAAGATGCAAAATTTATAGAAGATGGTGTGGAAAAAATTGCAAAATGGGAACATATTAAAATGTTATTTAATGAAGATGTCGGAGAACATGAATTACGGCTCGTCAATAAATTGACAGAATTTCATATTAATAAAGATAAAATACCGAAAATGAAAGTCAAATTTGCAGCCCAAGTTTTTAGTCAAAGAGTATCATCTGCAATAAGATTTTTGGCAAGTAAGTATTAATCATTGCTTTTATTTTCTTTGGTACTGGACTTGTTCAGTTGTACTTTTGCCAGTGACAAGTATATTATGAATTTTCCTTTATACTAATTTGTTCCAAAACATCTTCACAATAAGTTAATGCGACACATTGTGAAGTTTTTGGGAGAATTTTGAGTAAGCAGCCATAGTCTCAAGGCGCCTAAACAGAGATTTTACCTTGAGAGCCACCATCACCAATACCACCACCTATACCACCACCACCACCACCACTACCACCACCATCATACCAATACGACCATCACCATACGAATATCACTATCGGAGCATTTGTTTCATTGTTTCCATGCACAGTTCACAGTTCACATGCGCAGACATCTAATACATAAAATATACTTTAAAAAAAAACTTATATCTATCAAAATCTACTTCAAACAAAAAAAAAACCTTATCGCTGAGATTTGTTAAGCAAAAAATGTGAAATAATTGGGGTGTTGTGATAAAAATTCATGTAAATCTTACAGGAAAAATAATATGATGTCTTTTATTTGCAAGTTTTTTAGAAAGCAGCAAAAATCCTTTACTAACAAACTTGGTAATTAATGCACTCCCCAGAATGACCTATTTCTGTATTGATATTTTTTCTGCCGACTTCCAAAAAGGAGCCGGTACTCAATTCGACTGTATGTTTTTTTTTTTCGTTTTTTTTTTTTTTTTTTTTTTTATGTGTGTTACCTCAGAACTTTTTTCTGGGTGAACCGATTTCGATGATTCTTTTTTTATTTGAAAGCTGGTACTTCTCGTGTGGTCCCATATGAATTTGATCAAGGTCAGACCAATAGTTTTTAAGTTATTCTTAAATAACTTATATTGAAGTCGGCTGTACAAAATTTTTAATTTTAAATTATTAGTGTCGCTTTTCGTTTCAATCACAACGATGCTAAAGAAGATTTCACCTCAAAAATAAATATTACTTACCTTATTGAATTTTAACAATCAAAGATTCCTTTACTATCTTTTACTGTTATGTCTATCCGAAAAATATTTTTAAGAAGTATTTTAATTTAAAAAATATATAATTAAATTATTTCACTTAAGTAAGTCGAACATTAAACTTTTTTTTAACAGCACTTTATAAAAGTTACTAAGTTGTCCCTGGAGATAGTTAGCATTTCTTTTCTAAAACAAACAGTAAAAACCGATATCATTTTAACATATCACGACTTGACGAGATTTCTTCAAAGTTTTAGGAATTGCAAGAACGAGTTAAAATATATATCACAATTACTCACCATAACGTGATTAATACTTGCCTGACAGGCACATTACATTACAAATGGGTATGATGCGAACACTGGCAATGACAATTAAAACTTGTTCTTCCTTTATGTCTTGGCATTACAGAGAACGTTATTCTTCCTAATATACGCAATTACATGCATAGAATAAGATTGTTGGTAAGTAAATGGTTTGGGCCTCATACATGTTTATTCTCGATTAAGAATCAAAATATGGGTTCGTTGTCACTTCCTAATGTGTTTATGACGTGCTCGCATCTGCATCATTGCATTAGGCTCTTATTTTACGCTTGTATTCTGTGAAAGTAATGTCCCTCCCTTCTCGATTGAACCGACCCAATTTGTGCTGCAATATAATAAATAGCTGCAATGTGGCTCTACCACGTGGAAAATGTGTAAAAGCATAATTTTTGGGACAAATACCGGTTTAATGTGGATAAAATGCATAAAACTAAGATTATAGTTACTTTCGTGAGGATTGCATTTACACATATATTTGTGTACATATACAAATATGTCCATAAAAACCTAAGTAGGTTTAATAAAAAGTGATAAACGTTTTATTAATATTAGGAGCAAGGTTTAAGCCCAAAACTATCGATAAACCACTTTTTGTAATAAGACTGATAATATCGTAGACTTCTACTTCCCTTTAGAACACAAAATTTTTAGCTAATTTGCACAAAATATTAATTATATACTTAAACTTATTTTACAATTTTGTATTTGCCTTTAAATACGGTTAATCAAAGAGGATTAAGTGATAATGGAGAGGCTCACACTTACAATATTAACCGCTCTGACGTACACTCGTATTATGATTAATTAATGCTCTTACCTTAATTTCCCGGGAACCTATAATTGAGATTATAGTGAAGCGACCGGTTTCTGTTAGATTTCATTAGTCATATTACGTGGTAGAGCCATGCTGCAGCTATATTAGTAGTATAATTGTAGCACGAATGGGTCGGCTCGACCGGGGAAGGATCACGCTCTTACAGAATCCAGCGTAAAATGGCAGCTTGACACTGCTGTGTTTCGTATGGTGAGTGTAGAGAACCGGAGACCCATTTTACTGGAAAAGAGGCATTCTATCTTCTTCCTCACGGGTGACGATTTTGTGATTCTTTTTTGAGGATAAATGTAGATGTCTATGGGTCACAGCAACCACTTACAATCAAGTGAACTGTGTGCTCGTTTGTCACCCTATCCTATAAAAAAACGCGTCTGTAACGTCGAAATTCTGCGATGTGAAAGTTTGCCTAGTAAGGTGCATTTGTTGCTTCTCCTTTTTTATATAGAATAAGGGTAACAAACGCACATACAATCCATCTGATGGTAAGTGGATGCTGTGACGCATATCTATCCTTGATTAAGTATCAAAATGCAGATGCATTGTCCACACTTCGACTAATATGGAATAACTCACTCATCATACAAAACACGGCAAAAGAAAGCTGCTACTGTGTGTGAGCGAGGTCTTTCTCTGTTCGCGCCGACGCATTTGAGCTACAACCATAATATAGCATACAATATGAATTTATCACATAGTTTCTAGATAATATTTTGACGTCATTTTAATGATCTTTTTTATTTACTTAGCCCTGCTTTGGGATTTTTCTTCTAGGCATTTTATACGTTATAACACTCACATTTTAATTTGGTTATTTAATATAAACATGACATTAATTCATTTTTAAATCATTCTTTATTAACGATTATTTTACTTCCAAATAATTCTTCATTTTATATTTCTGTGACTCTAATAAACAAATCCTGATGTGGTAATCGGCCAGCTATATAACTAGTACTTCAAACCGACAACTGATGGGAAAGGAACGTTCTCTGGTGGCAGCCTCGTAACGGCAGGTGAAGTATAAGGCATACCCCTTCTAGATGGAGTGACGACCCGGTAAAACGTGCAGGTCTTAGGACCGTTATTTGTGGCATTCCTTGGAGGAGGCCTATGTTCAGCAGTGGACTTGTGAAGGGCTGTAATGATTACGATGATGAATAAACAAGTACGTAAAAATATGTTACATTATCATTAAACTTCTATATATAAAAATCAATTGCTGTCCGTTAGTCTCGCTAAAACTCAAAAACGGCTCGACTGTATTCGACGAAATTTTGTGTGTATGTTTGAATGGGTCCCCAAGTGGCTTAGATTCACACTTGAACCCGGCAGGTGGCGCTGTTGTTGAGATCCAATAATCACCCGTGCGAAGTCGGGGCGGATCGCTAGTAAAATATAAACTACATTTTCACAGGTACATAAAATTCTGACATAGGCTTCATCTGCAATAGAGAGGATACTTCATACCTGTATCTATAAGCATATAAATAATATCCGCTTACGAGTATCTAAGCAGCATTTAAATATTGAGGCCATCCAAAGTGAACTTGGCGTAATAAATGCGTAATTATGCAGAAAGCTCAGCTCAACTAAGACTTAAAAAAGATTTTCAAAGACGCTGTTTATTCTGTTACATTATAATATATTTATTTATACAACAAACTTATACTTACAAAGTCAATGATATGGCTAAATAGAATTGTTACTGATAAGTGGCTGAATAAATAGAAGTTAGTATATAGTTATAGGTAAAGTTGAGGAATAATGAGTAAATAAAGATACAAATATCTTTAATATTTGTATCTTTATTTACTCGTTATTCCTCAACTCTATTCTGAAATACAACATTTTTGTGTTTATTCAATCACTAACATATTAAAATTTCAATAATAAATATTTTATTCTATTCACTTCACCTATTCATATAATTAACGACTAACTGTTAGAATCCTTGGAACTCTGAAGTTAATACAACTTTTTCTTTTTCAGGCCACAAAATACTACCCACCGAGTGTCAAGATACAGCCAGTTTTTTGCTAATGTTTGACAAATTATTTGATTCCTTCAATGGACACACATATTCGGGTACAGAAAAGAAATTTACAGGGTGCCTTAAAAATGTTTCCCCCCATGTAAGCTTATGGAAAGAACTTGTTACAATTATAAAATCAATAAAATTTATAACAGTTATTAAAAATAAAGATGGCACTGAAAAAGTTAAATATGAAAAAGTGCCATCGACTTTAAATTGGGCAGGGAATATTGAAACTTTCCTTGAAATGTGGGAAATGCTCCAAAAAGAACATAACGTAACTAGTTTGCTAACCAGAAACTTCAATCAGGACCCATTAGAAAACTTCTTTTGTTGTATCCGAAGTAATGGTGTTCGAAACACGAATCCTACCTGTGCTCAATTTATAAACGCATATAAAACGCTTTTGGTCAATAATTTAAGTTCACCCCACTCTGTAAACGCGAACTGTGAAGCAGATGACAATAAATGCTTACAATCATTATCATATCTTTTAAAAAGTACAACAGACAGTGTTCCACAAGAGGAAAATATTAATTTTAATATTGACTTATTAATAGAAAAATGGAATAAGGCTTGTGATGAAGATCAACATAATATAATACACAATGAATCGAAACGATATGTCGCAGGGTACATAATTAAAAGATGCCAAACAAAAATTTTTAAATCCTGCAAAGTATGCAAAAATATATTTTTAATGATAAAATAGACCCTGCGACATACACCTACTATAGGGACTACACAAAAAAATCGTTAATATACACAAAAGATGAATTTATAGAACTAACAAGAAAAATTTACGAAATAATTATATTATGTTTGAGAGATTCGCCACAAGAAAAGAAATTAAAGGAAAAGATCGTGTCTTTCGTAGACATGGACATTAATTTTAATATGATTACTTGTGGGGAACATAAGGCTGTGCTTATTATTACGGATCGCCGTAATGCCGTGCGAAAAATGGAATAAAACGCGCTGGTCTTGCTTTTAACTGGAGGCAAGCGGCGGTGAGGAGGAACTTGTACTTTTTCTTTTCTTGCTGGTGCCTTTTCGGTGGCTGGAGAGCGACTGCTGACCCTAGTTTTTTTTTTTTTTTTTTTTTTTTTTTGCGCCCGAAGCAATTGGAAAAGGGCTACCCCGGAGGGAGGCGGAAATGCATTACGCATACCACGACAGCCGGTCTATCGTGGTTATGTGGGACTCACTTTGACTACCTACTGGGGAACCTAAGTGATACCCACTAAAACCGCCTTTAGGGACTGGCAACTAGCTGTTTAAAGCTTTTTATGCCGTATCGGAAGCGACCCTCTTTTGGGAAAAGAGGGCGCAGGCGGCTATTAGCCGCTGAGGGAGTGCCTACGAAGGCAAATTAATTATGAATAACTTAATTAGAGTTGGCCTGAGCCGCCAGGAGGCAGTTCAGGTCGTTTGAAAGTTTATTAGACGGGTCCGAGAGGGAGTTCCTCGGCCTGCGGACGCTATAGCGGGAGGGGAGTGGGGCTGCATAATTAGCAGCCTCACGAATAAGATGATTGGAATGCGACTCTGAGGCTTTGAAGAAGTTCTCAGAGAGTTTTTTAAGGAATTGTTGAATTGTAGGGAGCTCTAGGTCCCGATGAAGGTCGGCATTGCGGACGTACCAAGGTGCGTTCGCAGCTCGACGACAGAAAAGGTTTTGAACTACTTGGAGTTCATTAATAATTTTAGGGTTAGAGTGGGCGAAAATGGGGCCCGCGTAGGACATGACTGGTCGTATACAGACCTTATAAAGGGTACGCTTGTTTCTGAGGGACATTTTACTGTGTCGGCCCAACATACTGTTGAGCCTATTCAGGTAAAAACGTGCGTGACGGGTTACTCTTTTGACGTGGGGCCTGAAAGTTAGCCCTGTGTCTAGAGTGACACCTAAATATTTGGCAGACGTATGCCAGGGGACAGGGGTCCCTAGCATACGTATTGGTGGAGTGTTTTTGAGACGGCGTCGTTTATAATCGAAGTGAACGGCGGAGCTCTTCTCCGGGTTCACATCGATGCGCCATTTTTTGAACCAAGCTCCTAGGTCATCAACTGACTTTTGGACCTTGTTCCGTATGAAAGGTAGCGAGATACCTTTGCAGTAGAGAGCAGTGTCGTCTGCGAAGAGGGAGAGCTGAACACCTTTCGGCGGAATGGGAATGTCGTTGGTGAACAGTATGTACAGCAGAGGAGCAAGAACTGAGCCCTGAGGGACACCAGCTTTGATGGGGCGCTGTGAAGATAGCGTGCCTTCGTGTCTAAAACGAAAGGTACGATGATTAAGATAAGAGGCCACGAGACGTACTAGACGATCGGGGAGACCTATTTTGTATAGTTTGTAGATAAGGCCTGTATGCCAGACTCTATCGAAGGCTTTGGCGATGTCGAAAAAGACCGCGATAGTCTTATGACGACGGGGATAAAAACCGCTGAGGATATATTCCACAATACGGTGAACTTGTTGGGGGCAGGAGTGTTTCGCTCGGAAACCGAATTGATGGGGAATGATAAGAGGGTCACCGTCTGTGGGAAACAGATGGCGCCTCATGCGATTTTGAATGACTCTTTCAAAGAGCTTGCCCATGGCCTTGAGGAGGCTGATGGGACGATGACTGGAGGGGAGATTAAGAGGCTTGCCTGGCTTGGGAATACCAATCACAGTTGCCTCTTTCCACGTAGTGGGAAAGTAACTAAGGTTGAAGCAGGCATTGAAGATAATAGATAAAAGGGTTAGCACCTGCTCAGGAAAGTTTTTTAGGGCTTGGTTGGAGATGCCATCCGCGCCCGGAGCCTTTTTAGGCTTAAGTCCTTTGATGAGGGATGAAAGCTCATCATTGGACACAGAGATAGGTTCGGAGGCTGTAGGGGGCGAGTTCCGGCGGCGGACCTCATCCTCCACTGCCTGGACGTGTGAGGGGTCTACGGGTTGAGAGCTAGGAGAGCATTGAGCGGCAATGCTGTCTGCAAAGCACTCAGCCTTTTCCTCGTCCTCGAAGGCTACCGTACCGTCGGGACGGGAGAGAGGGGGAGTGTGGAAGATAGCGTCTATGCGGAGGGCTCTTGCCATCTGATAGTACGCTGTATGAGAGGGAGAGATATTCTCCATGAGCTTACTCTTTTCGAGGTCTCGAAATTCAGAGAGGCGGAAACGGAGTTCTCGTTGAAGACGATTGGCCGTGCGCCTATATTCGGGCGTGGGATATTTTGCTGCTCTCCGGAAAGCAGCTTTTTTGGCTTTTAATAGGTTGCTAATATGCAGGGGAAGCCCACTATTATTAGCAACCGGGACGACCCTTTCATTCTCCTTAAGGGAGGTTTTAATAAGGGTGGAGAGTGAATCGACCGCGGTGTCGATTTTTTCAGGACTGTCTAAGTCCGAAGATAGGGAGATGGGGGAGTCCTGTGAGTCCAGAGCTTTCGCTAGGGACTCCTTGAAGCCCTTCCAATTTGTGAAGGTTTTAGTAGAGGGTGTTGGGAGTGGTGGCTGATGGCCAAGAATGAGAGAGACCGGTCGGTGGTCGGATCCTAGATCGTCTAGTGTCTCGATTGCCCTAAGGTTGAGAGAAACTCCTTTGAGTAACGCAAAATCTAGTACATCGGGGGCATAGTCGGTGTTATCGGGAAAGTGAGTAACACCGAGAGGACTGTGGACGGTAATATCAAGAGACTGCGTGATATCGAGCAGTAACTTGCCACTACGGGTGGTAGTACGGCATGTCCATTCAGTGTGCTTGGAGTTAAAATCTCCAAACATAATGACTGAATTGCCTAGAGATAAAATAGCCTCAAAATCTTTTTTGAGGGGAAGGGTTTTAGAAGGGATGTAACAGGAGGCTATGAAGATGGACTGATGTCCAGTCATAGCTAGCCTGCATACCGTGGCTTCCATGTTGGAAAGTTGCGGAGTAGAAATGGGAGAACAGTGGAGTGTCTTCTTGTAATAAATGGCCGTACCGCCGCCTCGGCGGTCGGGTCTATCATTACGAAGAAGAGAGAAGTTTTTGATGGAAAGGCCTTTAGTGTCCTTAGTATTGAGATTAGTTTCCTGTAGGAGGAGGAAATCGGTTTCACGATTTTGAAGAAAGAGCTTAAGCTCTGGGAGGTTATTTCGCAAACCGCGAATGTTAAAGGATACAAGCGATAAACCCTTAGGTTTGATACGACCGTGGGATTTCGGTAGAGCAAACTGCTCTGTCATTGTGAGTTAAGTTAATTAAGTTAACTTAACTTACAATGAGCACAAAAGATTATGATGCTCTGCAAGAGCGAGGAGACGGTCCTGAGGGGACCTCGCAGCGCGCAATTTGCGTGCTAACACAGCGATTTCCTCAACGTTGATGTTCCTAATTGCGGAATACACCGTTTTTAGGTCATCAGCCATTGAGGGCTGTGATTGTTGTGGTTGAGGGGCGGAGGATGTCCGCAGTGGTACTGCCTTTTTGGGGCCCCAGGGAAAAACTGGAGGCTGCATAGGCTGAGAGAAGCCCGGAGGGGGCCGAATAGTGCCCTGAGGGGGCCTAGGAGGACCCTGAGAGGGTCGAGAGAAGCCCTGGGTGGGCTGAGAAAGGCCCTGACGGGGCATCCGTTGGTAAAGAGCCGGGAATGAGCGGTCATTGACCGGCGGTGGAGCTTGCCTACTGGGGCGAGGATGAGGTGCGCAAGGGCAGCCTCTGTAGTTAGCCGGGTGGCCCGTTTGTTTACACAGGACACACGCGGGTGGGGATTCGGCGTCTTTGGGCCGAGGACACTCTTTAGTGTTGTGGGGTTCAAGGCACTTAACGCACCTGGGTGGGGCGGAGCAGTTGGCCGCCGCATGACCATACAGCTGGCAGCGGTGGCACTGCGCCGGGAACCCGCGCCTATGTGGAGGCTCAACCCTCACTCTCGACAGGCCGCACACTGTGCGTACCTGCCGGAAGATGGCTTTCGCCTCCGGCACGTTGGTTAAAATTACTAGGGCAAGAGAGAACCTCTGGCCTGTTCTACTGTGCATTTTGTGCACGGCTTCTACGGGGAAACCTTGGGACTTAAGGTCCTCAAGGATTTCTTCGTTTGAAAATTCGAAGGGGACGCCGCGGATGACGGCCCTGACTTTGCGCTCTTCCGGAAGAGCGTATGTATGATAAGAAACTCGTTCGGCTGTGAATAGCCTGGTGAGTCGCCGGAAGTCGTCGATAGATTGGGGGATGATCTTAATAGCCTCCCCGAGGTTGATGGCGTGGTCATATTTTATGCCTGCGTTGTAGCAGGTTTTGGAGAGTTCTGTGAATTTAGCCTTGTCTCTTAGGAAGACAGGGGGCGGGACTTGCTTCTTGGCAAGGACTGGAGCACAGCGAGAGGCTGGCTTGGTCGGAGCGGGAATGTCTAGTGACATAAGTGGAGCTGAGGCAGCGGCGGGGGCTGCGGGGGCAGAGGCGGCAGCGGGAGCTGCGGAGGTTGAAGGAGCGGCAGGGGCCGCTGAGACAGGGAGGGTGCGGTTTTTAGCGGCGCGTTTACCGTTGCGCTTGGAGTTCACCGTGGTGAACGAAGAATCCCCGGTTCCGTCGGAGTCACAGGACTCCGATGAGCCGGTGCCAGAATTGGTGGCGGGCCTCTTCCGGGAGGCCGATGCAGAGGACTCGGAGCATGCGTACTCCATTTCTAATGGGGCGAAAGAGTTCTTTGTCTCTAGGTAGGCCGCAAGTACGGGCGGCG